TGGCTTCTACCACACACCAATCACTGCTATCGCAGGTTAACCTTCACCCACGAACTGCTCTAGGACTGCTGAAATCAGTCCTCTCTTCTAGATCTGTTTTACACAGATCTCACTTAGCCGAATGGCTACACCTTGCTCTATGTATCTCTTAGGGCATCAGCTACTGGGACTAACTCCCCTTGGGCCCTACAATCAAGGGAAACCTTAGGTATAGGTTCTGCTGTATTCTATGACCAGACCTAGGGTTTCTTTGCAGTACCAAGATAGAGAGAGAAGTGCGAGACAGCTGCTGTAAYCAGKCRAGAGAGGTGTTCTACGACCAGACCTAGAGCTCTGATACCATGTTTGCCGAACTGAACCTGTTGAGAGAGCTGAGAAGAAGAGAGGAGAGTCTGATGTGTTCGAATGGACTGTTCACTAATATAAGAGCAATACATAATTTACATGAAAGGACCAGAATGCCCCTGATTAGTGATGGGACACCCAGTCTAATAAAACACAAAATACAATTAAGCCCAGTTACTAAGGCCCGTTAACTAGAGACTCTAATACCCAGCCCAGACAAGAGAATAACAACATATCAGCCGAACCAACAAGATTAATGAAATACTTTTATGCTTGCTTATCAAAATCTAGATGAATCATATATTTTAACCACAATAAAAGTTGGAGTCATCCTATTAATGTTAAAGCTGGGGTCTGGTAATACACGACTGTATATGGGTCTAGGGCCTCCACCACTTTCCACCTGTCCTATGTTTTGGAGCATCAGAATGCACCATCAGACAGGCCCTACTTGTAATATCAGCTGGAACAAAATTTAGCTGGTACAGAAGGTTCTAACCCTATGAAATTACTGTATTTAAGGGTCAGTCCACAGACACAAACCAGTTTTAACTACAAGAGAAGGGACTTGAACAAGACCTGAACAGTGAACAGACTCTTCCCCCATTTTTGAATTTTTTTATTCATTTTTTTGGACTAAAATAAGGTCTCTACCCCTTTTTATTCTTAATTTTTTTCTGAGTTTTTCATTCCTTTTCTTGGACTAAATGCCCCTCTTATAGGGGCTCTTCCCCCCTTTTCTTTTCTTCCAAGTAAATTTTTGTACGGACTGAAACAGGTTTCCACCACCTTCTATTCCTTTATTTCTCAATTTTTTTGTGATCTCCCGTTCTTTTTCTTGCACAGCAACAGGGGCTCCATCCTCCTTATCTCATTCTTCTAATTTAATTTTTCCCCTCCTTATTCTAGGACCAAATGGGGGCAGATGCCCCTTCTAGTTGTTTAATTGGTTATTTTGCAAATTTCTTTTAGTCAGCAATTGCTCCATGCTCCATTAAATATTTATTTCATTACAATATTGTGTTTGGGATATTGATAAGTTGATATCAATATATTTGAAATACCATTTTTCTCATAGATTTGAAGATTTTCTATGTTTTGACATGAAATTTGTATTATCTAGTAAGATCATTGCCTCGATGTGTATGCCTCACCACATCAGCAGTTCACCATGAGATCATTTTAAAACTATTGGATCACAATACAGTCAAATTGAATAAGAATAACTTGCCGGGAACGAGTGTAACTCATGATCATAATTGAACAGTCATAATGACTGAAAGACACACATATAAATATATAGATGTACATCCAAAGTGAAAGACCATCTAAAGTAGTCAAATACTGAATTAGAAAGCTACCTGGAATTCACCAATGCCAGGATATCTCCATCCATGCTTTACAGGATAAGAAGGATAGCGTAGCTCTCCACAGGGACCTAATCCAACTTCTATCTCAGAAATGATCTCATCCTCGAAAAATTCATCAAATTCTATACGGAAACTTCTCATGTAGTCAAAGTAAACCTACATGTAATTTATTACAGAATGCCAATGCTAAAAAATCAGTAGAAATAATCTTTGCCTGGTCAAATGTGATATTTTTTATTGATAGGTCAAAAGTGATACTTTAAACAGATCTAATAATGAAAAATTAAGAAGCGAATAGAGCCATCCAGAAAACAATTATTATGTTAACATAATTGTTCTCATCTAGGTGAAATAGTTCTCATTTCACTTAGCATGTTGTCCAATGCTGGTTTGGATAAATACGTTGTTTCCAGACTGCAGTCCTAAGGTCCTATATGACTTGGATATATAAATTCACTAGAAGGAATACTATAAAGAAATCCCTTATAGAAATCAAGTCATTTGAAAGAACATAGGGTGAGCAATGGAGTCATTCAAAAGAACCTAGGAGTAGCTCCAATAGGTGATAAAATGAGAGAAAGTAGGCTAAGTGGTTTGGTCATGTGCATAGAAGACCACGAAAAGCACCTATAAGAATAATTGATCTGTTGCAAGTTGAAGGGGCTAGAAGGGCTAAGGGTAGGCAAAAAAGGACATGGATCTAAGTAGTTAGAAATGATTTAAGTGCCCATAATTTAACAATAGATTGGCATTACAGAATGGAATGGTGAAACAGGATTCATGTTACCGACCCCATATGGTTGGGATAAGGCTTAGGTGAATGATGATGATGATAAAATCCCTTGTAGACATGTGCTATAATTGATAATATGAAAGCATAGTTGATTAAAACAACAGGATTATAAGAAAAAGATTGTAACTAATTCATTTTGTGAGACAAGATAAATAAAACAATAGCTGCAATTACCACAAATACAATGAGTTTCATATACAATTTATGGTGACCTGCCAGGCGAGCCCGCTGACTTGTCCCAAAGATATGTTGTCAGCCCAAGATCTCCGGAGCATTAATGCCTCGACCATTAGACCGGCCTACCGCACCGCACGCACTAGAGTTATTCGGATGGACTGTAACCCCCGTGCAAATTACGTAACTGATGTAATAAATCACCCGACTAAGTGGAAACAGCTCCGTGAGAAGATGAGACCTGTTGTAAGGAGGCTTAGACCACTAACGCCTATATAAAGTCCTCATTTCTACCTGTGAAGGTACGTGCGATTACAAGCTCTCTCATTCTCTAAAAAGACATTTTAAGAAACTTTCTGACTTAAGCATCGGAGTGCCCACCTCGGGTAGAGATATAGCCCAGTCACTCTAATCCTCCTTGCAAAACACAACAGCTCGGCCCTAACAAGGTACTATCTGAATCAGGGTCCGAGTAACCTGACATAAGGGAGCAGCCAAATCACACTACATCACCTAACCTTTAACAAGGCACCATTGAATCTATCAAACCAAGCTCGAGGAGATTGTTTGAGACCATACAAAGCTTTAGTAAGCTTACAAACACTCCCCTTAGGCAAATATCCATAGAAGCCAAGAGGTATATCCATGTATATTTCCTCATGAAGATCACCATTAAGGAATGCATTATTGATGTATGACTTATAAAGGACAAGAGTAATGGGTTGCAAGGGGCAGAAGAACTCTAATGGATGTCATCTTGGCAATAGGAGAAAAAGTCTCCCCATAGTCGACCCTACAAGTTTGAGTGCAACCTTTAGCTACAAGTCTCACCTTATACCTTTCTATATCATCACCCGCCTTGTAATTCACTATAAACACCCACTTACAACCAATATAAAAACCAATAGGTGTCTTCCCCATAATTCTTAAGTAAGGCATCCATCTTTTCTTGGATAGCAATCTTCCACTCAAGTTGCTCTATTGCTTTAGCCATATTCCTTGGAATAGACATGGATGCAACAAATGCAAGAAAGGATTTATATGCAAGAGTTAACTAATTATAAGAGATATGCTAGGCAAGGTTCAAAGTTTCGGAAACGCCAAGTGTATCAGAAAGGCAATTTTAAGAGATGTAGCGGGATACGCCTTGGATACGCATGCATATCAGAGAAAAATTAAGATACGCATAGATACACATGAAAATACTATAAATACTTCAATAAATCATACATATACATCAATAACACTAAATATAAGGCCTCAATGAGGTATACATACATTAAATTAATATATTTTAATGGTTTTATGAAGAAATACATTGTAGTTAATTATAATTTCATTAAAAAACCTATACTTAACTATAATTTATAAATTATAATTCTAAAGTTTTATGGGATGGGAAAAACCCAACTATCCTATCCAACAATAAAAGATGCATCGGCACAACTTCTAAGTGAAAATATAATTAATATTATTTGTTATTTAAATAATTACTATTTATTTTTATTTAAAAAAATTATAAAAAATCAAAAATAAATAAACATTGTACAATATATTCAAAATAATAATTATTAAAGAAGATATTTCAAATGCTCTATGGATATTATAGATCATCCATAGAATTATAATATATTCAATCATTGTAACCAAATGATAGAATATAATTATTTATTATTTATCTTTAGTAATCGATCAAGACTACAGTCAGTCTTGAATCCAAAAAGGTTTCAGATGGAGAAAAGAAGAAGAAAAGGAGAAAAGGAGGAGAAGCAAAAGTACACAAGGGTTTAGAAAGGAGAGGGACAGATTGATTGAATCTGCCGCCCCACTCTTAATATTTATATGTTATGTTCACTAATTGTAGAAAAAGGCAGAATTGCCCTTAATGCTTACATGGCAAATAAAACAATAATAAGTTGAAATAACAAGCTGTCTGAAATAACTACCAACTAACACTGATATAACTAACAAAGATTACATGTGCTGTCATACGAACACAGTGGGGACCACAGCTGTGAGGCCCACATCAGTGTTCTCTACACTCCCCCTCAAGTTGGGAATAGATATTTGTCATTCCCAACTTGCATAGATCTGCCTCTAACTTCTTCCTTGGAACAGCCTTGGTGAGAAGATCTACGAGCTGCATGTTGGAGGTGATATACGGGAGACACACTTCTTGAGATGAGACCCCTTCTTTGACMAAATGTCGATAAACTTCGATGTGTTTAGTTTTGTCATGCTRCACCAGATTGTGATCTATATTAATAGCCACCTGATTATCACAATACAACATCAAGGGCTTCTCATAATCAATACCCAACTCTTCAAGTAGTGACTTCAGCCATAGGATTTCAGCCACTCCATTAGCCATCGATCTGTATTCAGCTTCAGCACTAGAGCGAGAAACAACACTTTGTTTCTTACTCCTCCAAGAGACAAGGTTACCTCCTACAAAGGCACAATATCCAAAGGTAGACCTCCTGTCATCAGCACTCCCAGCCCAATCAACATYTGTATAGACYTCTACCTTCATGTGATCATTATTCTTGAACAATATACCTCTACCTGGACATCTCTTCGAGTATGCTAATATTCTCTCAACTGCAAGGAGATGAGTAGTTCTAGGGGAATGATGTACTGGCTGAAACCACTGACTGCATAATTGATGTCTGGTCGTGTGAGACAAAGATATAAGAGTTTTCCAACCAACCGTTGGAACATAGCTTTGTCTTCAAGAGGCTCTCCACCCTTTGCACTGATCTTGTGATTCTGTTCAATGGGTGTATCTGCAGGCTTGACACCTAACTTTCCAGTTTCTGCTAACAGATCTAGAACATACTTCCTTTGAGAAATAAAGATCCCATGTTTAGATCTAGGAACCTCAATACCCAAAAAGTATCGTAGTGCACCAAGATCTTTCACCTCAAACTCTTGATGAAGGAGTCGTTTGAGGGACTCAATCTCACTATTATCATTCCCTGTCACTACAATATCATCCACATATACAGCAAGCAAGGTTAAAGAAGAGTTCACTCTTTTAACGAACAATGTATGGTCTGACTGGGCCTATACATAGCCGAATTTTCCAAGGGCTAGTTTGAATCTATCAAACCAAGCTCTGGGGATTGCTTTAGTCCATACAATGCTTTATTCAGTCGGCAAACCTTCTTACCTGTCCCTGCATCATAAAATCCAGGGGGTAATTGCATGTAGACTTCTTCCTGTAAGTCTTCATTCAAAAAGGCATTTTTAACATCCATCTGGAACAAAGGCCAAGAATAACTCGCTGCAAGGGCTAACAGAATTCGATTAGTGGTCATCTTTGCTACTGGGGCAAAAGTCTCCAAGTAGTCTATACCATAAGTCTGAGTAAATCCTTTTGCAACCAACCGGGCTTTATACCTTTCAATGGAACCATCAACATTATGTTTCACAGTAAATACCCATCTACATCCAACCGGTTTCTTTCCTTTGGGTTGGTCAACTAGCTCCCAAGTATTATTTCTCCAAAGGGCATCCATTTCAACCTTCATTGTCTTTCCACTTATGAACTGACAAGGCTTCTTGCACTGTTCTGGGGATAGGAATATCAGCAATTGAAGTGAAAAAGGACCTGGAAGAGGGAGAGAGGCGACCATAGGACAGAAACTGGGAAATGCAGTGAGCTGTGGATGTGGTGCAACGTCGTTTCCCTTTACGGACTGCAATGGGGAGATCAAAGTCATCCGAAGGAAGGGAAGTAGCAACAGTGGAAGGTATCTCAGTGAGACTTGGATCTGATAAGGGGACTGTAGTACCTGGATCTGGATCCGCAGAAGGAACTGGGGCTGGCCTGGACTGCTGATGACCGAAATCAACCTGCCTCCACCGCCTGTGATAGACTTTCAACTCCTGACACCTCTGACAACCCTCCCCATTACAGCCCTCATCACTCAATGGAATGGGTAAAGGAACCTCAGATGAGTTAACCCCACTCTCACTGCTCTCCCCCTGAGGAAAAAGGCCCAAATTCTCACTACTCTCCCCCTGAGGAGAAACCCTAAGGTAATAGGGTACCTCCTCAAAGAAAGTGACATCCATCGAGGCAAATCTTCTCCTGGAAATAGGTTCATAGCAGCAATAACCCTTTTGAGTTTGTGCATAACGGAGAAAAATGCATTTGGAGGCCTTAGGGTAAAATTTGGAATGA